TATCAGCAACAAGTGTAGAAAAATCATTAGATGTTCTACAATCCTTTATCAAAAATCCGCATGATTCGACCCGCAAAGTAGGACAGTAGGATAGTAACATGAAATAGATCAAATGTCTGTGCTTAAAATATTGAAAATGAATAAATTTCATCCTCATAAGATCCATCTTGTACAAGGGCTAAATGAAGATTTTGATAGGCGCATTGAATTTTGTGATTTGATGGAAAAAATAACCGAAGATCCTAACTATTTATCAAATGTAGTATTTTCAGATGAGGCAACATTTCAGTTAAATGGCCACGTTAATCGACACAATTGTAGATTTTGGTCAGATACAAATCCTCACTGGATTGAAGAAGCACACACGCAGTATCCACAAAAAGTGAATGTTTGGTAGACATTTTGAATAATGTTCTCATAGGTCCACTCTTTATTGACCGAAATCTAACAGCAATAAAATATGAGAATATGTTAAGAAACGAAATAGTTCCAGCGATACAAGCAATCATGGATGATAACTTCGAACATACATGGTTCCAACAAGATGGTGCCCCCTCCCCCACATTACGGAAAGGACGTCCGTAATTATCTGGACACAGTGTTTCCTCATCGATGGATAGGTGGAAGAGGACCTATAGAATGGCCTCCTCGATCACCCGATTTATCACATAACGATTACTTCCTGTGGGGCTATTTAAAAGATAGTTTACAAAACGAAACCACAAAATTTGGAAGACTTACGAAATCGAATTTTTGATGAAGCTGCTCTCATCCCTGCTGATTACATTCAAAAAGCCGTTTCATCTTTTTACAATAAATTAGCTTATTGTCAAACTGTTGATGGCGGACATTTTGAACAATTACTTTAAAGCTTTCCAGTATTGCCATAGTTGACAACTCCCGACCTTGCCTTAGTTGGCCGGATCATCCTACGATCTTGCCTTCATTGGCTGGATCATTCTCCGATCTTGCCTTAGTTGGCCGGATCATCCTCCGATCTTGCCTTAGTTGGCCGGATCATCCTACGACTTTGCCTTAGTTGGCCGGATCATCCTCCGATCTTGCCTTAGTTGGCTAGATATCTTACTTTAAAAAACTCGATAACTTCGGAACAGCTTATTCAAATTGGATAAAATCATAGTGCCTTGAAAAGGTCTGAAGAGGAGCTATAAGAATATGTAATAAAAAATTGCAGGTTCCATTTAAAAAATCCGAGGTGACTTTGTCTTGACCTTGATGACGCCACCCAATGTCAAATTGTTAAGATCGGTAAATAGAACATTTTCAACGCTATAACTTTTGCCTGAAACATTTTTTTATAAAGTGTATATTTTTCGAAATTTTCAGGGGACCCAGGGTTTCTTCTTCACCCTGTATGTACAGGATGAGTCAATTAAAGTGTTACAGACTTATATCTTGGAAATGAATAATTTTGGAGAAAAACGTTTCAGACAAAAGTTGTATGGTGTCAAATGGGACATAAGAAGGTATCATTGATTAGACCTTGATTAGCCATTTGAAGGATACGTGAAGGTCATCAATAATTTCTCAAATAAAATGCTCTACTTTTTTTGGCATATTCTTATAACGTATTTCAAGAGCTTTCCAAAACACTACAACAAAGTATTTTTTTGTTAAATATATCCCGAGTTATAAAGATCGACCCCGCCAACGCTTTCGGGCAGATTCCCGCTAACGCCTTCGAACATCACGCATTCGACCAGCTTCTCGCGATCACCTTCGGGCAGTTTTCCGCCATAGCATACTAGCATAACCGTTGAAGCCGTACAACTTTGCTATTGGACATTTTTCCAAAATGTATTCTAACTGAAAATATTAGGGGGAGCCGATACTTTTCGATTAATGTATTTTCTTTAAACCAATTAAGTGGTCTCATTATTTCGCGCACAAAAGTATTAAGGTTATGATTACTGAAAACTAAATAATATTTTACAAGATATTTTACATTTTGTGTCAAAGAATATTGTCTCACTCGCGCAGGCACCAATAATAATACAAGCTCTTGAGCAAACAATGCGGATCACTGATTTGAATCTTTGATGCAGTGCTGTCTTCTTCTTAGCGAGCAGCAGTCACCTCGTGGACGAAAACGAACAGCCCCAAAAATTATTTCTGTAACAAAAGAAGCCATTGCGCTTCAATTGATTGTCCCAAACATCTACATTTTGTTTCTAATAGCCTAGAATTTTTTCGTAAATATTATTAATTAATCTATTAGATTTTCAGTTGCTCAACGAGCTTTTTGCTAGTGCTGGTTGAAATAAACAAATCGATAGTTGGACCAACACTTAATAATTAGTATTTTCCTCTACTTAATTATTTAGATCAATTTCCTATCACTTACCTGATTAATTCTTCTTTGCTCTAATTAAGAATGGCGGGGCTTTCTGAAAGAGATCGAATAACACTGTTAATGATGCGAGGGGGAGACCAATAAAGAGGGTATAAAACAGTAACACGATTATTTAATGAAAATTTTCGGAATGAAAATAAGAGGATCTCCAAAAGACGCACGCACGCACGCACGCACGCACGCACGCACGCACGCACAAGAGGTGTAAATCCGATCGTGCAACCTCCACGCGGTAGCTTGGGTAATGCTAATGCCAACGGTACTATAACTTTGAAGCTTCATAACTCGGGATGTACTTAACAAAAAAATACTGTGTTGTAGTGTTTTAGAAAGCTCTTGAAATACGTTATAAGAATATGCCAAAAAAAGTAGGGCGTTCTATTTGAGAAGTTCAAGGTGACTTTGCCCTGACCTTATTGACGCTAGCCAAGATCAAACTGATAAGATCAGTAAAGAGATCATTTTAAATCTTACAACTTTTGCCTGAAACATTTTTTCCAAAAAGTGATTGTTTTCGAGATATTTTATCGTTCGAAGACTTTTTGAGAACCCTGTTATTATATAGATAATATATTATATAGTATATTATATATATAATATATTATATAATATATTGTTGCGCTCACTCTCGCACTCGCACTCTCTTGCATTCAGGCAAATAAAAACATTCGCGTAAGAATAACAAGCTTTACTATTTACAGCGCAGCTCACTCAAGCTTTAAACAAGAATAATTCTCTATTTGATAATTCTCAATTCTCGCGTCTGTCCTCGATGACAGCTGGTCAGAAACTCTCTGTCAGCTGTTGTTGTTTTCTTCTTATCGATTTTCCGTCGTCCAGACAATCTTCGTTCAGTTGTCAAAATCAGCATCACATGCCTAAGGCTCCCAATTGCATTTGCATTTTCTCAAAGCACCCAATTGCAATGATCAAACATTGTATGATATTTTATAAATAGAATTCAATTTTTAGTTCTTCTTTTATAAAATTCGATTTGTGCATACACGTACAAACACGCACCAGGCAATTCGTAAATTTAACCTCAACAATCTGAACGCTGTGATTGGTTGGCAACAGGTAATAGGAATACAATTTCCAATGTGACGGAAATTCTGTGTCTATTGCCTGTGCCATCGTTCATTTTGCATTGATACATAATTTCTGGTATGTTGGAATTCCTATTCCTCATTTCTATTCCCTATTCCTGTTGCCTGTTGCCTGGCATTGCGTAATGGCCTTTATCGTTCAGCTTCGACGCACACAACTCGCCGCGGAACGTCTGTAGGCCGCGATGGGCGTGATAAACGCTAAACTTTACGCGGTTATTACTAAAAAACTATGCGAGATATCGCTAAATGGAAAAGAACTTTTCGCTCCTCGCTTAGCTCTATGCTTCTATGGAGTTGGTGTGTTACAATTATGGAACACTCTGTATATACAGGGTGAGTGGTTATAAGTTTACAAACCGAAGCGTGAAGGTAGATTGGGTTAAAACATAAAAGTCCCGTACCGTTTTGCAAGATTCGCAATAATTATCGAGTTATTAATAACAGAAATATGAGGAGTGGAAGCGCGTCGACATAGATGATTGGAGCAGCGTTGCAGCTGCTCAAGCCACAGCGTGGCCCATTCGACCCAGCAACTGTTAGTGGCGTGCGGCGAGACGTAGATCCAGCGAAATAAAACAACGAATAGCGGTACGTTGTCTTTCCTCTCGTCGCGCACCGGCAACAGTTGCTGGATCGATTGAGCCGCGCTGCCGCCTGAGCAGCTGCAACGCTTCTCCAATCATCTATGTCGGCGCACTCCCATTCCTCAAATTTCTGTCATTAATAACTCAATAATTGTTGCGAATCTCGTAAAAAGGTATAGGTCTTTTATGTTTGCCTTAACCCAATCTACCCTCACACTTCGGATTGTAAACTTATAACTACCCACCCTGTATACAGGGTGTCTCAGAACTTTGGCACACGGGCTCCGTAGGGACATAGAGGTAAGTGAGAGGAACAAAAAAGTCCTGTACCATAATATGAAAATCATAATAGTTTTTTAATTATAACAGTGCAAAGTTAAGCGTTTTCCACGCCCAGCGCGGCCTATAGACTCTCCGCGGCAAGCTGTGTGCGTGGGGACTGAGCGGTAACGCGGCTCGCGCTGACCGTCGCGCGGCGTCAAAGTGTCAAGTTGCCATCGCGACAGTCAGCGCGAGACGCGTTATCGCCCCTACGCATACAGCTTGCCGCGGAGCATCTATAGGCCGCGCTGGGCGTGGAAAACGCCAAACTTTACGCGGTTATTATTAAAAAACTATTACGATTTTCACATTATGGTAGAGGACATTTTTGTTTCTCTCACATAGCTCTATGTCCCTACGGAGTCCATGTCCTAAAGTTCTGAGACATCCTGTATATGTATGTATGTATGTATGTATATATTACATATTCTATTCAAATTTCTCTTTCTCTTCCTAGTTAATTGAATTTATCTTTTGACTCTATATACTATAATTGCAGAACCCATTAATATAAAAAAACAGTTACATAACAGATGTTTTAGCTAATTACTATAATATATTGCAGATGATCCTTGAGAATCAATGTTGTTTAAACAAAAGCATGTTCTACAATATTATCAAGCCGTGGCTAGGAACAGGGTTGTTGATAGCTCCTGGTAAGAAATTTAGCATATGACAAACAATCGTCGCGTTTCTTATACGATACTGGTTATATATTCTCATGACGTAATTTATTGTTTATGTGTGTAAGAAGACGTGGAATATTATATAATATTATATTATATCAACTATGGCTTACCAAAAACTAATTGTATATATTAAAATTTTAATAGTCGTAATAGTGATACTGGAGGGATTCTAACCCAAGTCCTCTAACGGGGGTGTGGGGTGGTTGGTATCGCGGGAGAAATGTATGACGTCATTAGGTTTGACAGTTCTTTGACAACTGATTGGCGGCAGCATTACAACTTTATTGCTTAACTATCAAATATATTGGACTGTATACATATAAATGTATTATTAATTTATAATATGTTTTTAGGCAATTTGTTAATTTATAGCACAACTTTCATTGAAACGTCGTATACATGTTCGCAAAACAAAAAGCATGCTTAGTGTCCACATTTCAATAGTTACTATTTTCTTCTAATTTCTATTCAAGTTTTGCGTTGAGTAATAAATCCGTTTTTTAACGACGATTTTTAACGACAAATAATTTTGGAAGCTCTGAACAGCGCTATCTTCAATTTAAATCTTGGATGTACAGTCTGTAAAGTAAGAGCGTGCACGGGTTAATGTGTAGAAAAATTTATTTTTAATGATTTTTAAGTACATGGATTTGTTGTACTCCATGAGAAGAAAAATGCTATACTATTAATAATGAGTCCAGTCACCACCGGCATTGATAATTGCCTGGCATCTCCGAGGCATACTTTCCACTAAGTTGATTGCGTATTCGTTCGCTAAAGACCTCCAAATGAGACGAATTTGTCGTGTCAGTAGCTTCAAAGTGCACACTCTTTTTCCTCGAAGCTTGTGCTTGAGATATGCCTACACATTTTCAATGGGATTTGCATCTGGCGACTGCGATGGCCAATCAAGTGTAACGATGCCAGACTGCTCTTTCCACTCGGTGCAAAGCTTGCTCCCGTGTTTTGGGTCGTTGTCTTCCTGTAAGATCCAGTCCTCGTTTTTTTTTATGAAGCATCGTTCAGCAATCGGCAACAAACACTTCTCATAAATTTTAAGCATTAAGGTCGGGTTCCACTTAAACAAATTCAAAATTTTTTTTCCATATTCGGCGTCATTTTGCTTATCGAGCCACGTTCTGGCAAGTCATCGACATTTTTTATCTTCTTATATTGCTGAACTCACTTAGCGACGAACAATTTTGACTTTCCCATGTATTCAGCAGCCACTGCATATGACATTTTTGGTCCTTTGGGGTGGGAACAAAGGAACACAGCCTCATAGCGCGATACGTATGCGGCACTCATGGCGGTTAACGTGTTTCTCAGGTTAGAGTTCGATGCCAACTGAATCTTTTGTGACAAAGCATTCACGACAAAGATTTCATCTATCGGCTCACAAAAAAACTAGAATGATATTTGAAGCCAACTGCCATTTATCCCGTACACACTCTTACTTTACAGACTATATAGTGGTTTGATAGATATTGTTATGGTACGATAGACATTTGATGGATAACAATTGATTGTTAGCGGCAATCTTTTGACCGCTTTTTGACAGGAAGAGGATAAGAAAAATAAGTCGGAACCAAGTTAGAATCGAACCTATGTCTTTCGATTATACAATTCTGCTATCTAGACCATTGTAGACTTTTAGTAGTACACGCGTAATAAAGCCTCTCGAAATACGTCTTGCACGAACGGGAGGAAGAAATGTTCTCACCCACGGATTTTCGACGACCCTCTATCAAATTACTATTTATTGAACCATTGTGAAATGTCTATCGAATCACGTCTGTCAAATATCCATCAAATGTCTATCGTATCATATCAACATCTACCAAACTACTATACAGGGTACACGATTTATCTGAAGACATTGAAATATCTCAAGAACTATGCATTGAATAAAAAAAGTGGTTAATGAAAGTTGTTAGTCTCGAAGGGGGACATCCAATGATATCAAACTCGACCTCCCACCCCATCTCCTGGGGGTGGGGGTTGGGGACAACTTTGAAATCTTAAATGGAAACCTCCATTTTTTATTGCAGATACGGATTCTACGCCACAAAATATGTAAATTTTGTCCGAAACTTTTTTTTTGATTCGTGATAGATGGCGCTGTAATTGCAAAAAATTATATTTTCCGCAATTCTCCAGAAATGATCATTGGATTGAGAAATCATTGGATGTCCCCCTTCGAGACTAACAACTTTCATTAACCACTTTTTTTTATCCAATAGTTCTCAAGATATTTCAATGTCTTCAAATAAATCGTGCACCCTGTATACCTCCAAGATTTGGACTGAAAATAGCGCTGTTCAGAGCTTCCAAAATTATTTGTCGTTAAAAATCGCACGGATTTATTGCTCAACGCAATACTTGAATAGAAATTAGAAGAAAACAATAACTATTGAAATGTGGACACCAAGTATGCTTTTTGTTTTGCGAACATATACAGGATGTCTCAGAACTTTGGGACACGGGCTCCGTAGGGATATAGAGCTAAGTGTGAGAAACAAAAAAGTCCTGTGCTATAATGTGAAAATCATAATAGTTTTCTAATTATAACAGCGTAAAGTTAAGCGTTTTCCACGCCCAGCATGGCTTATAGACGTTCCGCGGTAAGCTGTGTGCGTGGAGGCTGAGCGGTAACGCGGCTCGCGCTGATCGCCGCGCGGTATCAAAGCGCCAAGACGTCATTGCGACAGTCAGCGCGAGACGTGTTATCGTTCAGTCTCTACGCACATAGCTTGCCGCGGAGCGTCTATAGGCCGCGATGGGCGTGGAAAACGCCAAATTTTACGCGGTTATTACTAAAAAACTATTACGATTTTCACATTATGGTACAGGACTTTTTTGTTCCTCTTACTTAGCTCTATGTCCCTACGGAGCCTATGTCCCAAAGTTCTGAGACTCCCTGTATATGACGTTTCAATCGAAGTTGTGCTATAAATTAACAAATTTCCTAAAAAAATATTATAAATTAATAATATATTTATATATATATATAGTCCAATGTATTTGATTGTTAAGCAATAAAGTTATGATTGTTGTAATAACTCGTGAAGAAACATCTTACACAACATGTAATAATAATTTCATATACAGGGTATTTGGTAACTTATGTGGCCATAGCTAATGGAAACATAGAGCAGATAAAGAAAATCAAATATCGTTTTGCAATAATCACAATAATATTGAGTTATTAGTTATAAAAATCTAACTGATGAAAGTACGCTGAGAGATGTTGGAGGAATATTACAATCGCTCGGGTTATAGCCCAGCTCAGTCGATCAATTAACTGTTGACAGAGCGCAACGAGGGAAAGAACAATGTGAAGAACGCTACTCGTTTTGTCTCGTCCCTCCTACGTCTCTCTGCGCGCCGGCAATAATTACTGGATCGACTGGGCCGCGCTATAGCCCGAGCAGCTATAATACTCCTCCAATATTATTTCGAGAAGCGTTCATTGATTAGATTTCCATAATTAATAACTGAAAAATTATTGCGAATATCGTTAAACGGTATGTGACATTTATGTTTGTATTAATCCACTCTATGTCTCCACGAATTCCTCAGAATGAGTATAAAGCACCTTGTATATTCTCGGAAATTTACTAATATTTATAAGGATTAGTGACAGATTTCTAATATTGTATAAAAGATGTACCCTCTTGCTTTCTTATTTCTATCTAATATTCAATTTTTCTCAGCATCCAAATGGGTCAAACATCGAAGAATGTTAGCGATGAGCTTCAATACAAACATATTACGAGTATTCTGCGATACATTTGTGAAACAAGCTACAACATTTATTGAGAAATTGGAACATATGACAAACGACGAAATTGATCTAAATCATCATTTAACAACGTGTACGTTGGACATGGTTTACGGTAAGTTAAAATTATTTGACATTGACTTAAAAAATTGTGTGTATATGCCATAAATTTTTCATTACATTAAATGCATAAAATCACAGTAAAAATTCTAAATAACATATTTTAATATAGAAAGTGGCCCACATAACTCTTAACAGCTGAATATTTTGAAAACTATTTGTCAAATAAAAAAGTTGTTCATGAGAAAGTTTTTGTATTCGAGGGGCCTTTCTAAATACATAAATATTAAATTACTCCCTGCCTCCCTTAAAGGGGACAGGGGGTAACTTCGCAATTTCAAACGGGACTCCCTATAAAATGTTAGATGGTTGAGTTCTGCGGTAAAAAGCAAGTAAATTTTGTTCAAAACATTTTTTTATCATATGTTTCTGTTAAAAGATATGACGATGTAAAATTTCGAAGCTGCACGAAATCAAAATCACAACACACTGTTTGTTTATTTATTCAATTTATTAAATGTTCAAAATGTTCGCCATAGACTTATAAATATATATTTATTCGAAGCAACAAATTATTCCTAATATTTTTTAACATTTCGGAAGTCACTGAAGTGCAAACGTCGCGTATCCTTTGCTTCATATTTTATTTCGTCGTTGGCGGTTCAAACATAACTTTCTCCTTCATATATCCCCACAAAAAAGTCTAATGGTGTAAGATCGGGAGATTGAGGAGGCCATTGAACAGGTCCACCACGACCTGCCCACTTGTCCCCAAATTTTTCGTATAACAACTGTTTGGTGATGTTTGTAAAATATAGCGGAGCGCCGTCTTGCTGAAACCACATTTCCCTTCTGATGTGTAGTGACACATTTTCCAAAAGCGCAGGTAAATGGTTTTGTAATAAGTTCGGATAATCAATTTTACCCGTTACAATTTCTTCAAAGAAATAGGGTCCAATCACAAGGTCTCCTATTATTCCTCACCAAACAGTTAAAGACCACCGATGTTGGAATGGAATTGATCGCATCCAATGAGGATTTTCAACGGCCCAATAATGCATATTACTAGGTGCGCAACTAAGTTTCCGGGTTTCACACATGGATGGCGCTAACGACACATGTAGTCGACATATGTCTGAAGTTGTGTATTTTTGGACATCTGTTAACAATAACCAGTTGTAATACCAACACATATCGCAATGCAAAAATATTTTTTCTAACAACGAAGATGTCGAGTTTTGTGCCAAATAAACAACATTTGCGGGAAGCTTTGCTTTTCGGCTTTAACTTGAAAAAAAGTGCAGCTGAAGCACGTCGTTTGCTTGAAGAGGCCTACGGCGAATATGCACTATCGAAAACTACCTGTGAAGATTGGTTTAAACGCTTCAGAAGTAGCGATTTTGAAACTGAGGACAAGGAGCGCTCCGGAAGACTAAAAACAATTGAGGACGCCGATCTGCAAGCATTATTGGATGAAGATGATATGCAAACACAAGATCAACTTGCGGAGGCATTAAACATGACTCGCCAAGGTATTTCCAAACGTTCACATGCCATGGGAAAAATTCAAAAGGGAGGAACATGGGTGCGGTAGAATAATAAGGCCGGTTCTAACTCAGGAGTGCTGAGGGGGGCGCGGGGAAGCGGGGAACTCAGGGCGCGGGGTATGACGTCGCGCGTGGAAGGGAAACTCATGGTGGGACGTCACGCAAGATGGTGACCGTGACATCACGAAAAAGAATGTATTGGGATGTACGTAGCCGGGCCTCGAACCCGGGCCCTCGCGGTTACTATCCCATGCTCCAAAGCTCCTATACCACCGTCGTTTGTTGCTAGTAGACGTCTAGTGAATGTTCTTAAAGTCGGCATGATGACGTCACGAGAGGAAAAATAAGTCAAAACTAGGTCAGACTCTGGCCCTTCGTTTACTGCGCCATATCGGACATCTGTCGAACGTCTATCGAACGTCTATTGAACGTCTCACGAACGTCTATCGAACATCTTTCGAACGTCTATCGAACATCTATCGAACGTCTATCGAACATCTATCGAACGTCTATCGAATGTCTATCGAACATCTATCAAATGTCTATCGAACGTCTCTCGAATGTTTGTGCTTATAGTTTTTCCAAACGGTAGAGGATCGATATGGATTTAAATGACGACATTCCACTAACAGCAGTCAGTATTCGCTTGGCATTTTGCGAACATGTCGCTAACGCTTACGTTGACTGGCAACAGTCGCGTCCTTAAGGTGAGCTATTTTCCCGCTATAGATTCGAGCGACGGTGATTATGAGCTTGGTTTAACGGATTTTGAAACATATAATACGATACCAAATGTAAATTCATCGAATAATAAATTTTACAATGGTGCTAACGACGAAGAAATTACGATTCCTGAAGGATCGTACGAATTGCGCGCCATATACGAATATCTAAAACGTGCAATTTCACATTCTCTAAAAACAGTGTGTTCCAAAAATAACCCATATAGAGATGACGATAATGAATATCCTATAATAATTCGTGCCAATAATAATACGATGAGGAGTGAAATAAAATATGCTTATAGGATAAATTTTAGCAAACCAAACAACATTGGCTCGCTTTTAGGATTCTCATCGAGTCGTATATTAGAACCGCACCGATGATACGAATCGGACGCACCGATTAAGATTATCAACGTGAATATCATTCGTATAGAATGCAGCGTTGTCAGTGGTGCGTACAGTAACAGTATGCGTGTACATACGATACATGAATTCTCGCCTAAAGTGCCACCAGGATATAAGATACGGAAACGTCGGCACATGTTATTTACCTTCCAATCATCACACGGAGCATTACAGATTTAACGGTGCATGTCGTCGATAAAGAAGGACAATCTCTCGATTTTCGTGGAGAAGAGATTACTATTAGATTGCACGTACGACGACGACGATAATAAACGTAATCTATGAAATGCTTGTGGTGAATCAAGTGGAACTGGAGAAACAAGCGGGAAATATATTTTTTACGAGACGCGCGATTAACAGTACAAAATTCCTCGTTCGAAAGAAACTCAGCGCGTTTAACGTTGAATTTTTGAAATCTCTGGGATTCATCGTACGAAATGATTGAGAAAGATGATTTACATTTTGAACATTGAAAGTGAACCGGTCTTTGACGATCGCATCATCAAGATTGAGACACATATGTACAATCCATACGCTAATACAACATTTGGATATAGCGACGAGATACGAATACCCATACAGCAGCAGGATTTATACATATTGCCATGCGAGAGTTATCTCTATGTCGAGAGGAAGATGACGAAACAAGTTGCAGTCGATGGTGCGACTGTAACGTTGGGATATAATTGCATTGCATTCATGTTTGATGAGATCCGTTATGAACTGGATGGTATGGAGATTGATCGTAACAGAAACGTGGGAATAACTTCAACACTCAAAAACTATGTATCGATATCTTTGGACGAAAATGCTGTCATAAAAAATGCCGCGTGGGATATGACTGACACTATTTCGCCGGACGGGTACTTCAACTTTTGCGTACCACTCAGCGTGTTGCTAGGATTCTGTAAAGACTACAAGCGTATAGCGATTAACGCGCGTCACGAATTGATTCTATTACGATCGCGCAGCGACAACAACAGTCTATTAGGATCTCCAGTGCTTGATCCTAAGATTGAGCTATTCAAGATACAATGGCGAATACCTCATCTTGAACGATATCAATAAACTTTCCATGCTGAAAACTTTGGAGAACGGACGATACCTGAGTATGAGTTCCCGCTCGTGGGATCTGTATGAATTTCCTCTACTGCAAAGCACGACCAAACACCAGTGGACCGTCAAAACTGCTACTAATTTAAAAAAACCTCGATACGTTATCTTTGCGTTACAGTCTGGCTGGAAGAATGTCATGTCAGAAAATATAACTTGTTTCGATGACTGCAAATTGATTAACGCGAAGCTCTATCTGAATTCAGAGTGTTATTCGTATGATGACATGAATTTGGACTTTGCAAAAAATAAATACGCAATACTTTACGATATGTATAGACGTTTTCGTAAATCGTATTATGGATGCGACAGTGCTGAAGTATGGTTAACAACTACCAACTTTCTGCGGTTAAGTCCTTTCGTGGTGATCGATTGTTCGCGTCAATATGAGTCCGTCAAGAGTACCATTGTGGATGTGCGGATAGAATTTGAGTGTAAAGAGAATATACCGGCGAATACTACCACGTACTGTCTCATCCTGCATGATCGTGTAGTTGAATACAGCCCTCTAACCGACATAGTGCGCAAACTCAACTAACATTAGAAAGTATATATAAGAAAAGAATAATACACGAAACAAAGTACTATAAATGGCATTTCTCTCCTGGACGTATAGAAGAATATTTCACCATGGATGTTCCGACATTTGTCGACTTGCAAGGATTCATGGTTGGAAAGAGATTTATTGTGAAAGAAGCGGCGATACTGAAGAACGGAACTATTCTTTCGCACTACATTTTCACGAGTCCGATGCCATGGCATCTGCTCACAAGATCGGATAAATCGAGGGTCTACTGGTAAACTGCTAATCATCATGGATTACGATGGGAAGATGGAACCGTCAAATACTGCAGAGCTAAACATCTGGTTACTGCAGCTGTGGCGGATGATATGTATGACTAGCTTGAAGACGATGTATCTCAATTTGTGTATGTGAAGGGATATGAGAAGCGGGAATGGCTGTTACAACTTCTGGATGACAATGCGAGAAGCAGCGTGATCATTAAGACCATGAACACCGATTACGACGATATGCCTTCACTGCAAAAATTGAATAATACTTTTCGATGTAATAATCATATGAAAAATTGCGCATTACAGAATGTACTAAATATTTTCAACTAGTGGTCTCGAAGAAAATTGTACGACGCTATATAATAAATCATTATTTCAAATGTACAGATGTCTCTTCCAACTTTTCCTTATCCCCTTTCTTAGGATTTTATATGGTAACTGTGTTGATACAAATACTTCTTTATTTGCGG